ATAAAAAATATTTATTGATAATATCTAGAAATTTATCTTATACTTGAGTGTATTACTTATTTGTAATACTTTATAGCTTCACAGGATAATGCAGTTGGGTGTGATCATCTCTGAGCTCCTGGAAAATGGTTCTTCTGTTATGGTTTGTTTGGAAGATGGCTGGGATATTACTGCACAAGTAAGCTGCTACTAAAACCTTGAAATAGCTAAATATTAGAAAGAAACACTAGGCAATACTTTTTTTATACAAGTGACTGATAATTTGATATAACATCAATAAATTTGTGTTGTGGCAGCAGAGAAGAAACTAGAATGCATGAAACCTTGCATTCATTTGCAATTTACACCATGAAAGAGTTCCTTAAAATGAATTTGTTCCTAAAGTCCTGATGGACTTACAAGCTTAGATAAAAAATCTGCTTTCCTGCACCTGACCGTATGTGAGAATGAAAGCTGAAAGTTGACACAACAGATAATTTATCTTTGTAAACATAGTACACTTTAAATGCAGGAGGGAAGGAGAGGAATTCTTTCGCTTGCTGTTCACTTTCCATAAATGAAGTTAGGAGACCACACACAGGGAGAAAACTAAATTTTTGCCAAAGTGACTGTAACACCTGCTGCAAGAACAGATCACCAGAACAGATAACTGTGAAACAAACTACAAATTACATGAATGAAGACCCGCTGCCTCATTTAACAGATGCATTGTGGACATGTGGTTGCTTCATGATGTAGAAGATAAACACAGATATCAATTATTCTAGTAAATAAAAACTTAATGTGCAGCCAGCATCCTGATACCAGGTAAACAAACCCACACAAGAATGTTAACATAATTACTGGAGTCATCATCAAGGGATGAAGAGTAGAGAAGGGGACATACATAGCTGGAAGTGAAAGAAGTCTGCTGCATTTTAAAGTCCCCTGAGGTGCTGTCTGTAATGGGCTGAAGTTGGCTAGTGAGCACCATAGCATGGCAACACTGCAAAAACTCTGTCACCCTCACAACTAATTCTTTAACACTTTCTTTGTGAGGTAGCTGATACTGTTTTATAAATGTTTATTTATCTTTATTTTATTAATAAAAGTGGGTTTATTTCAAATGTAATTTAAATGTGGTAAGCATTGTAATGACTTCCAAAGTCAATAGTTGCTCAGGTTTTACTTTTACAGATATCGTAAAGTCCCAATTTAGTTGGAACGCTTTCATGTGAGATATTATTTGATTTGTTTTATAAAAATGCTTAATGTATGTGGTAAAATACTTGTAATTGAGTTTATATGAAGGCTTTTGTTTCCTTGAACTATAAGCAGATTATGGAATATTTATATTCGCTGACTAAAGTGTTCTTCTACCTTCTGTCACTCTTAACACAATATATCCTGTCTTGTGATCTAGGTAGTGTCTCTGGTGCAGTTACTCAGTGATCCCTTTTATAGGACACTTGAAGGCTTCCGAATGCTGGTGGAAAAAGAATGGCTCTCGTTTGGTCATAAATTCAGTCAACGTAGTAATCTGACACTCAATTGTCAGGGTAGTGGATTTGCTCCTGTTTTCTTACAGTTCTTAGACTGTGTGCATCAGGTAAGTCAACGTCTATCTAAGAAGTATTCATAAATAAGTGTGTAGATGGCACTACTTCAGATGTTACAGATAATGACTTAAGACTGGCTATTGGTGGTCTGGAGTATCTTTATTCAGAAGAAATTGACTGATTGTTCATACAGTAACTAGACAGTTTTTAATTTCTTGTGCTTGATGATGAGCTTTGAAGAGGCCTTGTACTCCATCAGTTCTGGAAGCAACAAGCTATAAATCAGGGGGACCTGAGGTTCTTATTTTTTATATATAGTGTGTTCTGAAGAAAATGAACACCAGCAGTTACATGGTGTAGGAAGAAGTTAGGTTAAGAATATTGCACTCATTTCAGCTTAATTCTAAAGTCTGTCCTTTTCTTAATCTCAAACCACCCTTCCAGTCTGTTAGCAGACCTGCTTGCCTTTTCCAATCAAAATGGTAGAAAAAATTTGGTAGAAAAGACCATGTCATGTTGATGGGTGTAGATTTAGAAGCAATTCAGTGGGTCAGTCTGAAGGAGGCAGTAACTTCTCATGAGGAAAGACAGGGCTGTCTAGGGTTATGATCTTTTCAACTCATGTTATCTTCAGCCAAGAAAGGACACGGGAACACAGCTTTACTCCATAATTAGCGTAATATAGATAGTATATATTTATTTGTTATTAGAAAACATCTAAATGACTTGCAATCCTATTTAGAGTTAAACTCTGAGTAAGTTTACTAGAAAAGCTCATGGTGGCATAGTATTGACTTACTAAATTCTAACAGTATGATTGTAAACTCTAAGGAAATTACTTTTGAACTCAAATTAATGGTTGAATTTTCATAGCAATTTAGTATGAAAAATAAATTTACTTAACATTTGTACTTGAACATTTCTGTTAAGTGTCATTGGTTTCTGTGCAACTTGTTAGACAACTACAGAATCCAATTAGACTGCAACTTGATCCTGAAGTGTAATATATTATCATCAGTTTTAAAAAAATTGCCCATTGACTAGAAAAACAAACATTTGGTCCTTTCAAAACATTTTTAACTATTATAGTCTCAACGTACTAGGTACAGTAAGAAAGTCACCATGAAGCCAGTATGTGCATTAAATGTAATGGGTTAAACTAAAGATGGAGAGAAAACAAATGAAGCAGTGATTCCTAAATTAGAACTGCATCATCTTGTAAAAAGTCATTGTTTATGCCAATATCTCCAGGTGTCAGCTGAATTATTAATGCAAAATCATTCTTTCACAATAGCAGCATCTGGCAGATACTCTCTCTGCTTCTAAGAAGACTAAGTTTATGTAAGTGATGTCAGTGCAGGAAGTTTTTCTTGTTTTTCTTGTGTATCTATCTATTTGGTAATTTATTAAATATAACTAAAATGGAATGATTTCTAGAACTGACTTCTTTTAAGCTCAATAAGGAGCTCTGTTACAGCACCCTGTGTAAGAGGAGGTGAGTGTGCTACTCCCATGGTACATGTATCCTCTTAGTGATTACTAGCACAGGACATTTTGGAGTAATATATTTCTTATTTAAACTAAGGAAATATTGATATATAATGGAATTACAAAACAAAAATGTATTGGAAAACTAAGGAAAGCTGATGGAAGTACTGGAAAACTAATGAAGGCTGATAGTAGTGTAAGATTATTAAATGCATTTAGGAGATATTTAAGTTAATTGGGAAGATGTTGATTTGAAAAAGAATTCTGAAATACTGAGTTTCTCGAATCATACTATTAGAAACACCTATCGATTTACCCTGGTTTTACATGTTCATTTGTTATGGAAATTAAGCATTTTAAATGATGCAGTTGTAATTTTCAGATACTCTGTCCCTGTAGACATATCTTTCTAAGTGGTATGTGTTGAAATTGTAAAGTATAAAACATTGCTTCTAATTTACATGTAAATTTTGAGTATATCCATTAAAATTAATGAATAAACTGAAATGGCACCAAAGACGTATCAGAGAGAAACCAGCTATATTTAACCTCAACCAAAGTGCTTACCTTGCATACAGTAATAAAAAAAAAATCTCTCTTTTATGTTTAATTGCTTAAGTGAACACAAGTATTTTCTCCTAGGTTAAATTTCTAATTTATCACTTCTGATGTTGGAACTGTATATTATCAGGAGCTTTTTTTCCCCGATAGTTCAGCCATGTTTTAAAGTTTGCAGACTCACTGCAGCTAAATAAATCATCAGTAATAGTAGTCACTTTACCTACCTGTGACACCTTTTCCCTCTCCAAGTGTGCTGAAATTATCCGCAGCCATTAAAATACTGACAATAACTACAATATTCACTTCTAGCAAGGAAATGTTTTAGGTGATAGTTATTTTCACTTCAGAAGTAAATTATATTATTGTGAGTTCTAGTTACTTGTAGTTCCAGAAATCTCAGAAATGGGATAACTCACAACAGCTAGATCCATGACAGGATTACAGTAGCAGCTTATTCTTGTAACTCTTCAAATGTGTTAAAATAATTGGACCATAAGTAGGAGTTAGAACCCTGTATAAATCATGTCAAATAGCAGAATATAGCCTTTCCTTCTTGAAATATATTAAAGAAAACTTTTCTTAACACAAGGTGGAAAATGTATACTGAACTACTTGTGTATGTGTATAGATGTGTCTAACTGCACACACGTATGCAGAGCTTTTGGGATTTCAGCTCAAAGGTACATTAGGTCATTTTTTAACAGAATTGCTGTACACTGATTAAATTTTAATCTGATATATGCCAGAAAAAAAAAAATTCTTTTTTGTAAGAACTAAAAAGTTACTTTGTCTATGAAGTTAAACTATTGAATTTGTTATAGAAAAAATTTTGCTTACCTTTATTCTTACAAAACAAATGCAGGAATGTAGTCATTTATGTCAGGCGAGAAGTGGGGGGAAAAGTAAGTGTGGGTATACTGAACTGAGATATCTTAAAGTATCTTAGTGTGTTAAATGCGGAGCCACAAGCTAATATTGTGATATGATAACAACAGATTATTTGCCTGAAATGCTGGTTATGCATTTATAGGCCCTTTTAAGGGATTTTCTTTTCACTGTTGTACATTCGGTAGATAACCTTTCCTTGCTAAATGCCTATTTGTCCTCTTTATTTAGCTGGTTGGGTTTTTTTTTTTTTTCAACTGGCACATGTGAAAATCTTCAAATCAAGGAGCTTCAAGTAGTCTAATACTAGTTTCTTTAAGTACTAAAAAAAACCATTTCTCTCTTGAGGAACTGATAAGTAGAGATTAGAGAGAAAAGATGGAATAGGAAAATGAGAGTGGTGGGAATGCAAAAGACAAGACATAGGAAGATTTCAGAACTAAAGGTATTTTACAAGTTCGATGTGAAGCTAGACAAAGCACAGTGGGACATATTTCAAATTTGAAACCCAATCAGTAATTTATTTTTTGATTGCAAACTACTTATTTCCATTGTAATTGGGAATTTTCAGTTAGTTACCGTGCTCAATTCTGAAAATAAAGATCACAATTCATAAACTTATTTGAGGAGTAAATTTTAAATTAACACATGACATTTCTGTGAGCAATATCTCGTCAAGATTTACTTTAGAGTCTTGAATTTGTATGGATATCAAGTTTAAAGATCATCAATAGTTAATGCTAAAAAAATTTGCCATGAATATTAAACTTCATGCTTCAAATCTTACACCAGGCTCTTTCTGATAATGTTCAAGAGGAAGCAGTTGTGAAGAGCCAACTATCCCACATTGCTGTACTCTGATAATCTTAAATACCTGCTCCTGACTCATGCTGGAGACTTGCAGTAATAAGACTAACTGAGGATAACAATTTAAGATTGTACATTGTTTTTACTGTTTTAAAAGAATAGTGGCATGAGACCTCCTCAGTATGGTTTGGGTTTTTTTGTACTGTAATATTTTGGTGCATATTTTGAAAAAGAAGAAATATGTGTAGACTAGCAAGTAGTTCAGAAATTATCTGTTTCAGTAATGATTGGTGGAATATCCTTTGCAGCATTGCCTCTGCATGTCTGCTACATTGAGCTCTGAGCAACAACAAGTAGTCTGCTGCAAAACCTTCCAATTAAAGTTTGATTTCCAGCTACATCCAGGATTAGCATCTTTGCCTTTGAAGTTATGTGGTGTCTCATGAGTTATCATAAAAGATTTATAGCAGTTTGATTACTTTGAAGGATCCTGGGTTTTGTACAGAGTATAGTACTGCTTATTATACTGTACAACTTAACTGCTCTGACACATTTTTGTAGGATAGACAATACATGAATTTAATTGGTCTTAAAATATTTTTAGATGATATGTCGAAAGATTTGTGTGTATAGAGAAGACGGTTGCCTATGGATATATTTGTTGTCAGCATTCACAGGGGAGTTATTTTGCTATCATATTTCATATTATTATTTATTACATATCTATTTGTATTATACCTCAATATCCTCTTTTTCCCCCTGCTTTTTTTTTTTTTAGATTCATAACCAATACCCAACAGAGTTTGAGTTCAATCAGTATTATCTGAAGTTTCTGGCTTTTCATCACATATCAAATCGATTTAAGACATTTCTTCTGGATTCAGACTATGAAAGACTAGAACATGGTATGTGTGATGTTTGTTTATTACATATTGATTTAGTAGTTGTTGGTATCTTTCTCACCAATATTTGGCCTACAACAATTTGCCTAGTTTGAGATGGTCCAGCAGTTGCATGGTGATGATGTAATGAATTACATTTCAGGAATATAAACCAAAATGGAGCTGAAGAACATGTAGAATTTTCTGAATAAATGATTACTGAGCCATGCCACTGATGAGACTAGGAGAAGGTGGAAGAAATTAGTGCCATGCCTCAGGGGTTTTTTATCAATTTATCCACATCGTTCAGTTTCCCCTTCTAAATACCTTATTTTAACAGAAACAAAGTCCCTGGGAATCCTTCAGAGAGTGCATGCAGTTTCAGGAAAGGAAAGACTTTCCATCTATTATGTCTCGCTTCTTTCTCTTGCATTCTCTTCAGTGTTCCTCTTCTTTTATATTTCCTTTTCACTCTGTCATGTGCAACCTTACTGGTTCCAAGGCCTTATCTACCCTCAGAGCCCTCTCAGTAAGACTTCACAACCTCAGTTGAGGCTGTTCTTGGAACTTGATCCCTAAGCAAAACACTTAAGTGCTCAGAATGTCAGATGGGGTGTTTCTCATGGCATATGGTCAATTTTAGTGCTTTTCTTAAAATCTGTAGTAACTGTGGAACAGTCTAACCTTGAGCAACTATTTTATTTCAAGAAAAACAATTAAACTTCCATTATTTACTTTAATTTGAACAAAAGTGAGGTGTTGAAGTCAATGACCTCCTGTGGTTCCTTTCAACCTGGATTGTTACATGGATCTACAATTTGGGGGTGGCGTTTGTTTATTTAGTGTAGTTTGCTTTCAAACTTCAATGCAATATAAAATCCTGTTTCCAGTAGTCTTTGAATGAATTGTATGTCCTTCCAAAGTAATTTCAGATGGCAGAAATCTATGGCTAACTTCTTTTACACTAGCCTGATTTGTTTTCCTTGAAATGAGTTAAAGCAATTTCAGGTGCAGCTGGTCCAGCAGAGTGGAAGGGCTCATAACCTCGGGTAGTGGGGAGCAGAGTCAGTTAGCAGGGTTTGGTGGTCTGCTGAGTCAGCATAGCTGCAGGCAGGAAGGGACATCCATAAATACACACGGATGTTTCGGTAAATATCAGAACAGGTTTATAAATATAACACTAGTGAATATTTTTTCATACTATTGGGTTTATATCCCCACAGCAGCCCTCCCAGTGCTGAGTGGTACACTGGCAGCCAGCAGGGTGTTTATAATGCATCTTGGGAGGGGGCGGAGCCAGGACAGCTGACCCGGATTGGCTGTTCCATACCAGGTGATGTCAGCTCAGCCATAGAAGCCAAGGGAAGGGAGGAGGAGGGGGGCATTTGTTACTACATTTGTCTCCAGGAGCAGCTGCTACACATACTGAAACTCTGCTTTCCCGGGAAGTGGCCAGGCATCACTTACTGAGGGAAAGTAGGGAATAACATCTTTGTTTAGCTTTTGTTTCTGTGCATGGCCTTGGCCTTTGCTTTAATTAAACTGCTTTTATTTTGACCCACAAGTTTTTCATCTTATTCTTCCCCTTTATTTTGCTGAAGGGGGAGTGATAGAGGGGCCTGGTGGGCACCTGGCGTCCAGCCAAGGGTAACCCACCACACTGTACAGAATTGTTATTCTACCAATTTGTGTCAGAGTGGCAGTTGCAAAGCACTGCAATTGTTTCATCAAATGCAATCTCTTGTAGCAGTGGCATTTGATAGTAGATTTTACTATGCACTTGGTCTGTGAATTTCATCTTGGCTATGCTTTAGTGTTTTGTTATGTATTATCATAAAGCTCTCTTTTTGCTGCTGTTGTTTTCCCTAGGGACATTGTTTGAAGATAAAGGAGATAAACATGCCAAAAAAGGAATTTGTATTTGGGAATGTATTGAAAAGATGCACAAAAGGAGCCCTATTTTCTTCAATTACCTCTATGCCCCTGCTGAAACAGAGGTATGATCTATTAAAAAAAAAAAAAAAAACCACAAACAGATGGCTTGATGGCTTGTTATTCTGAGTGATTTCTTGAGTATGTTTTGATATCTTAATTGTTCTCTACTACATTAAGCATTTGGTGGACAAAATTGACCCACCTTTATTGACTGGAGCAGTGTCTCACAGGCTTGTATTCTCAGTCATCTTAGTTATGGAAATGTCATTTAAAGCACCAAATTCTGGAACATGTACTTGTGCATCCTGCTGAGGTAAATTAGGATATTTGTTTTATATCATTTAATGATATAAATTATTATAAAAATGATCTTAAAGTTTGCACAGATTGTTTTTTAAAAAAAAAAAGGTTACATGCTGCAAACCACAGTTATGGGAAATGAGTTTAGAGTCATAATGGGATACATTTCATAATCATCTGATTGAATCACATTATCTATATCACTGTCTCATATGATAATGTATGTCCCCTAGGTTGGACTGTTTCTTGAATAATTATATTAAATTCACAGTACACTTGCCGTTAGAGAATTCTGCAATAACCAGGGAAGAAGCAGTCAAAATACCAGGAACTGCAAGAAAAGGGTGCTGTTCTTACTGTGGTTCTGGAGACAAGGTGTTCTAAGATGTTCCTGCTCTCCACTGCCCCACAGAAGTTCATTCCTGTGCTGCTCTCTCCTGCTTTGGCATTGAGCTTCACCCTGATAAATAATTTTTTTGCATGTTTGTCCTGTGCTGGTCACCAGAAAACATAATGATGGGACAGTCTGCACCATCTTGGAGGCCATGGAGCCACTGATTTTTATTTTTTTTTTTTTTTGGTGTTTCTTGGTTTTCCTGTTTTCCTCAAGTTGTTTCACATTGTATCTTAGCACCTTGCACTCAAGTCTGCTATATAAACTGACCTCATTTAAAAAAAAAAGAAAAATATTTTCTTTAAGGTATTTTGAGTCTCTGTCGGTTCACTATTGCAGTCAACAGTGCAGCCCACTTCAACCCACACACACACTTATACTCGCCTAATAAAGTGGTGGTGCAAGAGGGAGCAGGGAGAAAACAAGAGGGTGATGCTCAGTGGACAGAAAGTGCTCAGCTGTCTTTGTTTTAGAGAAACATCTGTTTTCTCTGTAGAACCATCACTGTGATGAATGTGGAGCTTGATGGGCTGCTTGTTCACTGTATGTTCTATCCATTTTGCTGTAAGCAGTAGACTGATAAGTAAGCAATCAGGAGTAGCTTTCAATATTTTGACAGTGTTTTCTTTCTCTTTCTTAGAAGAAACTATTTTTCCTCATATGAAGTGTTGTCATAGTAGCAAAATCAGTTATAATAGCAGAATTAGTCATCATGTCTCTCTTTGAACTTTAAAATTGCCTATTCACCTGAGGCAGTAATTCCCTTCAAGTAATGTGCATGCAAACTGAAAGTCCAGCTTCATTTTTTAGAAGAAAAAAAAAAAAAAAGGCGTTTTTAGTACAAAGTGATCTGTTTTAAACTACTCTGAAAGAGTAGTCTCTGGCTACCTACATTATATTACTGTGGTTTGTCCAAGTGGCATGTCCACCTATGTTATAGAGCCTGTCTCTTCTCTCTGATAGTGAAGAGTCTTGGATTTTCTGCTGAGAAAAATTGAAAGGTGATTGCTATCAAGTGCCTTTTATATCTTTCACAGGAGACACTGTGATGGTACCAGCTGCGTATGCTGAATTAGAGTTCTTGGTAGGCACCTGGTTTAGTAGAAGGCTAAAAATGAGCAGTATATTCCCAAAGCTCGTAGTAGTTTTATAAGTTTTGATCTGACTGAGACAAGATCTTGCTGTGGAAATTATCAAACTGTGGCACTACTCACCCAGTGCAAGATACTGTTCAATTTAGAATAATCTAGAAAATCTAAGTTTTGTATTGTCTTGTAAGTTTGAAATTCAAAGACTTCTTTTCTGTCAATTATAAAAAAACTTTGTTTCAAATAGGCACTGAAACCAAATGTAAATATGTCCAGCCTCAAAAAGTGGGATTATTATGTAGAAGAGATTTTGGCTACAGGTCCTTCCTATGATTGGGCCATGGTAACTGGAAAATGCAGTGTTCCAGAGGAAACGGAACAAATTGATGGTTCGCTCCCTCAGACTAAGAGGAAAATCGTGTGGCCGTGTTATGATGATGTTAAAAAAATACAACCTGATGCCATCAGCAGCCTTTTAAATGTAAGTACATGTGTTACACAGAACAAAAAATTCTCTTATGCTCGTGAAATTCACATTTACTTTTTATTTAAGTTGTTGCTTTGTAGATATACTGTTATTAAAAGATGTCAAAACAGGTATTTAGTAAAACTGACTGGTTGACCTTGAGAAGTGATGGTTGGTCTGGGAATCAATCAGACTTCTTACAAGGCTTATGTTGTTCTGAATGAAAACTTTTCTGGGAGTACACCTTAACAGTAGTTAATATCTATGAGAAAGTCAGTCATAGATTCTTTTTTTTCCACTGTCTTTTCTAAATAATGAGGTAGATAGCATAATAAACTTTTAGGTTGCCTTTTATAAGAAATGCGGGAACTATTATTTTAATGTGGGCAAATGCTGAATCTAACTTTCTTGTCCTCTTTCTACTCACTTTAAAGTAGCTGTCCAGTAAAATGACAGATTTCCAGACAGATCAGAAAACAGAATCTGACACTTGTTGATTTTAACAAGTGGGAGACAGATACACAAACATAAACTGAACATCTTGGGCAAAATAAAAAAAAAATAATAACTCCAGGTACCAGTACAAGTT